CATCGTGCAAGGAAACCCTATGCAACTAATTAATAACAGCTTGTAAATTTGTTATATTATTTCTACCTTAAAAATTTCTGAATTTTGGCGCAAATGATTTTGGGACACCCTGTAAATGTTCTCCCAGCTCCGCGCCTTCGTATTTGAGAAATTTTGCAACTAAGGTGGTCAAAAGTAGCTCCCAAAAGCTTCGCAGCAGTCCAGATTTTTTTTTCAAATGTCCTGGAATTTCCTATAGGGAAGTTATGTAAGGACTCTACCCACATTTATCCAGCTCTTCCTCCAGTTAGCCGAATAACCAGAACGATTTCCTCGTTTCTGGCTCCACAGAGTAGGACCAGGCGCGCATATGTTGCTCATAAGGGGCTCAAGGGTCCAAAATTGACATATGTAGGTGCCAGTAGGCTTAGCGCAGTGCTAGAATTTGTACTCGTAGAAGAGTGCCTACCGAATACGGAAGGATCGTTCAGCCATTATAGGTCTAAATAAGCTAGCAAAATGGAGCCGCTTGTGTATTGCCCTTACAAGGAAACCTCCAGAATGTTCTAGAAGAAATGTCGATTGTTTTTAAACATTCGGCAATTACTTTGATTCTCTGAATCCGTAAGAGAATTGTCCCTGGCTAGCCGGATTTTTCTGAAGTTTATCCAAAAATGTGAGGACATAAGTAGGAAAGTTTATACTATGTAATAAGTTGACATAAGTTTATACTATGTAATATAAGAAGAGATCGATCACTGAACTGACTTCCGAGTCTCTTTTTCAAGCTACATCGAGTAGTGGAAGCAATATATCGTCTTCTACAGCGACCCAGCCCAGCGAGCCTCCACGCAAAAAGAGGCCATCGGTAAGACTCTTTCTTGATATTTTGCTATTAGTATAGGATCTTTCTATAAACTTAGAAGCTTCTTCACCAAATCACTTGAAGTTCCAAAAATAAAGCAGACACCAATCTGCCGGAGAGTTGTCAAAAAATTAAAGTAACAGATAAAAAGGGATTCAGATGCCTTCGAATCATTGAAAAACATCGAAAGGCCCTAAAGATAACTACTCCGTTCCTCATGTAGGCTATGTTGACTATTTTCAGCGGCCAAGTCTCACAGTTTCAAGATCTCGTTTGAAAACTGTTACCTATAAGGAAGAGGTATGTTCGAAAAAATTGGGGTAATCATGCCCATACCCGTGTGCGATATGAACTAGTGAGCGGAGGTAGAGAGATTGGTAACAGACTAGCCTGGGAGGATGAAAGCACTCCCCATAAGCTGGCCACCACACGTCTTTGTATAGCCAAGGTCTCTTAAAGGCACCGTTCACGTTAAATTTGGCTAATCCAGATTATGATGAAAAATGGAAGACAGATCGAAACTAGGTGAAGAAACTGCGTGTATCGGTGTTTCCAAAGTGAAGAAAAAGGCTTCGAAAAACCGTTAAAAAGGGGGCTGGACGAAAACGAAACAAGAAAAATGAAGAATAGTGGGGCGCCTGGACGAGCTAAACAGTGCGATTCACTGCGCGTGTGTGGGTCCTGGTGCGAATAATAGACAATGGTAAGCCGAAATTCATTCACTTATAAGCATTAATAAGCAGAAAACCCTAGTAACAGCAAATGTTGCTCACTTTTTTCAGCCTCTAGGAGTAGGAAATTAAAAAGAAAAACAGAGGGAAAAAGAATGGGAGAAAAACATCGCCTCATCACTCGACGATAAGCTTATTGTGCGTGGGTCCTAGAACGAATAACAGCAATCTGTATTGTCTCGACACCCGTCAAANAGCGAGAGGGTCCCTTCTACCACCCATGGGGGGCGCTGAGTATTCCTAAAGGAAGAACTCAGTAACCCTTTTATCGTGAACGGTGCCTTTAAAGATATCACATACCCACTGGTCCACTCGGCCTTTTCTTTTCAAGGCTTTTTATACATGTCACTGTGCAGGACCGCAGAGATTCTATTGCAGGCATTCATGTCAGAAAGTAAAAGCTGGATTTTACTGCTGATATTTGTTGTCATCATATTACTATATCGTTCCAGTCTTATTTCGTAGAAAAAAGAGAAAACGAAAACGTTCATTTTCAATGTACTAATAAAATGTTTTCACTTTTGTCATGGTTTAATGTCTTTCTCTTGTTGCACAAAGTGTATCTTCCAGTCCAACCTGAACGCACTATAATTTGAACATAGATGCCTTTCTGTTTTGCCAAACAGGTTTACCATGATGTATCCGTTTTATTAGATGCCCGCTTCGACTAAGGCATCGCCTTCAAGGACATGAAAGTAGTTTGGACCTCCCGATCTGCATCTCACCTGACCAAGCGCCCAAACGCGTTAGGCCAGTAGTAATAATTCCCAGGAACTCGAATACCAATTCAACCCAGCCACGAAGCCAACCTTCCGCGGTTCCACCAGCGTTGTCCAACCCTATTTCGTGAACAGCAAAGGACCAATGAGACACCATTTACGGTCGTTAGGTAGAAATTACGCGGTGATTTCAAAGCCCACAAAAGGGAATGAATGGCAGAGGTTCACTTGTTACAACAATGCACTCATTTCGGTTGTTAAGGATTCCTCTCGCGGATGTATTATATAACGCTTCCAATATCTTTCTAGCACCGATCTCATTCTCGTAGGCCAGGATTTTGCATTTGATATTGAAATCTTTGCCCTGATGTTCATTCGGTCGATGGCTGCCGAATGGCGTGATTAGAGAAGTCAAAACAACTACTAAAAGGAGATTTTGCCTGCGAAACGCGAGATTAAGATGTGGCCTCACTGAAAACGATCAATAGAATCTGATGAATAGGAATTTGTGAAAAAACAAGAACGGGAGTAGATTATATTGGATATGCATAGTTAATGTTCCAGAGCAATATCCAACAAAGGAGCCAGTGAGGGAGGGAGTCCGGCTTAAGACCTTTCAACTCATGGCTCGCGGCAGATAGTACGTAAGAATCAAATTCCGGATCGGTGCTTTATCAGACCAACAAGACTTTCCTTCTCCTTCACCACCGGTCGATTGATACCAGACTCCTCTACGGAAATAAAAGCACTGACTCATACGACTGCTGGCCACCGCAGGTCCTCATATAGGCCGCCTACGCTTTCAAAGCGCCACTAGGATTCTGAAAGGGAGTTGAATGCGGTGCGCATCCCCACAGCGGGGTTGGACAATGCCTGGACACTGTATTCTTCACCGCTTCAATACAGTTGATGTTGTTAGTATTTACTGCTTATAAGTTGTCGCCAAATTGTATTTTGGGCTGTTTTTGTTTTAATTCGCCTACACGACGTGAAAAATCGCTGGATTGGGATCGCTTGCTGGCATGGTGGTCAGTGAAAAAATGCTCGAAAGTTCGTTGTAGCCCACAGCCACTGAGCTTGATAGACTTTAGCTTCACCACAGTTTTGAATGAGCGCTCCATAAACTTCTACTTCTTTGCAACGTCTGAAGAGAATCCGGCATCTATTACTCACGATTTTTTTGCGAACGAATGCCGCTTGTGCCCCAGCACAATGAAAGAAACGAAACAGTTTTTCTCAGTTCAGTTCGAACCAGCCTTCTATACATTTATGAATTACTGCCAAAATATATGGCTTGAAAGTTTATCTTACTGTATGTGCATCACAATGTGTTTCCACGATAAAAAAGGATCGTCAATTTGACAGAACAGAGCAGAATTCTCGAAAAATTGCAAAATAATTATCACAACAATAAATGAGCAAAGAACGAGACCCGTAAGTCCATTAGTGAGACAGTCTCTTCAACGAGAAATTCTTTTGTTAGATGTATGGAAATTCACTAATTCCCCGTTATTTTCAGGGTTTTACGTCATGACAACAACAGGATATCGTGACCCTCATATCGAGCTGCACAAGGCATTAAATTAATAATTTTTTACAGTTGTGACTCATAAAGATACAATGATGTAGTGCTAAACAGTGCGTTAACACACGATTGGTCCAGGGATCGGATCCTAGATCGGTACCCTCCCAGACCAACTAGGCTTCCCATCCTTTTATTATGATTTAGTTAGGGATATACGCGTCTGGGAGGACGAAACCACTGACCTGTGCACCAGTCGGCCCCGCAAACCAATCGTGTAGGCTGCATACATATTTAAACGCGGCTGCGATTGCTTTTAAGAGTCTGGTGCTTGGCCCATCGCCCAAATAGAAGAACGCCGAATGACTTCAGACTTCTAGCTTAATCACATCAGCAGTCACATTCAATGTAAGTCCCGCAATTAATCACTCGATAGAAGTTTTCTGATCGGTTTGAGATAAAAGAGATCTTGATGTTCTCAACGGCGACGGTGAGACCTGTGGCGTGGACCCAGAGGTGGCATTTTAAATGCACCGCAATCATGTGGGAAGTTCCCAGGCGGTGGAGCGATATCCTTGTGTTCTCCAACCTGAACAATAAAGTGGTAGGAGACGATCACAAAAAAATCCCCTGGAAAAACCAAGCCTATGCTAACCTGGAATGCATACGCCGTCCCGCTCATAGCATGAAGTTCGAGATGGCAGTGAGCAAACCACCACCCTGGATTTGTTGCACGAAACCTGGAAAGTTGTACATTTTACCTATCATGATATGAAAAAAAAGCATTACGGTAGCTAAATTACCGTATGACAATGTAGCCACCAACTGGCAACGTGATCGTATCCCTAAGCGAAGGGTCTACGGTATTCATGCCCTGTACTGCACCATTCATCCAGGACCGGTTCCGCCAAACTGCTCCATCACATACAGCCTGAATGAAGTGGTATGGTGAGAAATAAGGTACCTCTGATGCTTCGAACCCTTAACTACTCCATTTGGACCCTGTTCAACTAACATCCGTTCCGTTACACTCTATATCGGGATTCATTGTCGATATCATACCACTGGCATTGTACGATGGCCATCCGACCTGGAAAACAGCGGTTTTCTGTTTACAGTTCCCACAAGCTAGAGCTCAGACTCACCTTCATCACGTAGAAATGAGTGCCATGAATGTGGAATGGATGAGCGTAACCGGTACTGAACGCTCCACCGGTACCCATATTGTACAAAGTAATCTACAAGAGGAAGCCTCTTCTGATTTACAGCTCTCGGGCTTTGAAACTTGACCAGCCCTCAAGCGGCCAACTTTTTCAAGGGAAAATGAAATCAGATGGGCTACCTGCACAATGTTGTTCAGCTTGTGTTTTTTATGATAAAAGCAGTTGCAGTTGTCATCGAATTTGTTCGACGCTGTTGAGCAGTTCACTTTGTTGCAATCCTAAAAAATATCCGAGTATATTGCCACATTGCCTTTTTCTCATTATGTTCAAAAGCTTCAATTCATTGCAGGAGTAAAGACCGAAGTCTCCACAGTNTACCTGCACGATGTTGTTCAGCTTGTGTTTTTTATGATAAAAGCAGTTACAGTTGTCGTCGAATTTGTTGGACGTTTTTGAGCAGTTTACTTTGTTGCAATCCTAAAAAATATCCGAGTATATTGCCACATTGCCTTTTTCTCATTATGTTCAAAAGCTTCAATTCATTGCAGGAGTAAAGACCGAAGTCTCCACAGTCTTGAGAGCTCATGGTGGGACCTCTCGGGCAGCGTACGTCTTTGAACCATTGACAAAGGCTTTTGTTCCCCGAAAACGAATTCCTTTCCGAGGGCGCCTATGGTTTATCTAGTTTTCGTGGCGTAAATACCTTCCGAGAGATTCTCCCCCTTAATGCTTTCGGGTAAGAGCAAAAAAACAAGCCTTGACAAACGCAACCACTGACTACTATTAAAGCTTGGAGGAATTTCGGTAATTCCCTTTTCTTTGCAGCTTGTCAGTCTGGGTTAGTGGATACCGAGACAGGAATTGAGGGTTTGGGTACCAACACGAGTCATGGTGATGAGGAAAGCTGTGAACCAGTTTCATTTNGCAGTTGGGCTGTCCCAAGAGAGGAAGGGCAGTGGCCGGCCAAACACTGCAAGCCGCATGGAGGGATTGCGGCAGTCATCAACATTTTTCGGAAATTTTTGGAAATTTCACTCGGAAACGCCATTGACCCTTATCCTGTACTATCATTGATCGGTCTATAGCCGTAGTTACATGTACATATGTAGATACGCCGAGATTTGTAAATCATGAAAGCTTACAGAAGCATCTATTTAATTTGACTTAGTATAAAACCTGAAGTCTTTTGCCAGTAAGACGGTTATGGAGTAGTTCGCAGTACTGGTAGCACGCGTGTGCAAATTAATCAGAAACTAATTACTCGGGGTCTGTGGGTACCAAGGTTCTCTTGGAAAACGAGTGATTACCCATATCTCAGTCCTGCAAGTCACTGCATGGGTCAAATACGTACTCGACCCCACCAACGTAAGATTCTAGATGAATGGTCGATGTATCCCAACACGAATCTCAGAGCACCAACCCTTCTTTCACAATCTTCCCACGGTTCTCATTCACAGTGGAGTTGAACGTTCTTGTTGAGCTACGGTAATACTCACTATAATTCGGTAGTTCCATACAACTGTGTAAGTCCCTACGCGTCTACCACGCAGTAGCTGAATAAGAAGAGAATCTTTGAATATAATATACCTTGGAAATTGATGCCATGTCATTTTGATGATAGTAGGGCATTCCAAGAGGATGTTCATATTTGAAGCCATCGACATGTGAATCGTAATGCATGTTAATGAAGTGCTCCTGAAAACAGGTGCGGTTCCACTCAAAGTGGTTGATAGAAAACTTCTCGTTCATATCTCACACACCTCAAATCCTCCAGTGAACGCAGTATCCTTCAGAATTTCCTTGTCAATCTTTGAAGGCTTGGGATGACGAAGTTTGTCGTAGCACATACAAGTGAAGTTGAAGTTGGATGGATATGACTCGAATGGACAATTCAATACAGTACACCTTTTCTGGGCGGTACAATCAGGCGAATGTGTGAAAGTGGCTAAAACGAAAAAAACAATCCTCCTGATGCTGCTCTTCCGCTATAGAAAGCTAAAGAGCTCTGAAATTGTAAATGCAAATGACAGAAGTTTTCGAGACATATAGGTTGAGACACTACAAACAGCTACTTTTCTGTTATCAATTAATTAAAGGCACAGTCCAGCTGGCTACCATGGGAATTGTCAGAAACTGATCTTCACTGTCGTTATGGGTCCGACAATCAGCCTGCCGATTGCGTTGTTAGAATGCGCGATCCGCTGTGGATAGTAAAGACCGTTGAAACACGTCCACTTCAGAGTATGTTATGCAAAAAGGGCAGTCAAAAGTCTTTGAAGTCCTTTACAGAGCCCTATCTATCCCAAGTCCTTGTAGGGTCACTTGGGGTTGGGGGATTCGCCCCAAATGAGTCCTTGCGGGAAGCTTCAGAAATTATTCCTGACGTGGACTGTGCCTTTAATAACGACCTTGCGAGTTATCAACTGAATCCTTTCACTGATACTACCCCAAGCTGGAAATGAGACTTACGCGGTGCCCTATCTTCATTGAGGTTTCCATCACCTTGATATTCGATAAACGCCACAGTGTAGTCTGTATCGATTCGAGTCCAATCGAAGAAATAGTACTGTACCGTCTCCACTACCATCATATAGCTCTTTTTCGTTGGGTTTTTCAATCCCCGGATGAGAATATCATATCGTTCTCCAGGGAATATGATAAGTCGATCAATCTTTAAAGTCAAATTTTCAATAAAGCGACCCGCATCATCGTAAAGTTTCCTTAAGAAAAGGACCAACCGGTTGTGGGACCATCTCATTCCCATCACCAGCAACGATTATCATTTGATGGCCTTCAATATGCAGCATGAGCTCTTGTGCTACTCCACCGTTTGTTATTCGGAACAGCACTAACTCATCTAGAAAAAACAGATATTTTCAGTCGCCTCATAACGTATTCGACAAAAAACTACCTTTCTTAATCCGGAACCTTTCCAGTGGTAAAGCCCATGGTCTCTTCAATATATCATCCCTCACATGCCAACCCTTGTCGTTTATCAGCAAGGCAGAGATCGGGACAGCTCCACCGACATTGCCTTTAATAGTAATGATACCGGTGATCGTAAATTTAAGAGAAACTGAGGTCATAGTTGAATTTAATGTTCTGCGATCAGTAGAGCGAGAGACGAATACGAATTTGACGATTAATTGCCAGATTCTCCATCTTTATATGCGTTACCTTATTCTTATACCGTAAAATTTTTTGACAAGCATATCGACCCAGTCAGATCCTGGTAACTTAGAAGGAGCCACGAAAGCCGACCCGGAAAATTCTGATGCCCCGATCGCAACTCTCAACTCTTGCTATCGCTTATCCATCAATAGAGAGAAATAATGAAAGTAATCTATCAAAAAGATGCAACAATTCGGCCCTATGATAAGGTTAACGGCCTGGCATACGGTAGCCTTTAGCAAGTAGCGAAAACAAGTCTGCAAAGTTCCTCACCTCCATCCACAGTCCTCGTTGGTTGCCAGCATTTTTCAAAATCATCGAATCCGTACATCCATTTCATTGTTTTTTCTTTGAGCCGCAAAAATGCTTCATCACCAGTCTCCGTAGCCCAATCCTAGAATTACCGTAGAAGTAGGATAATATCTGGATTGAAGTGTTCTTCTTTATTTCTCCTTTGTTCTTTACTCCTGGTAGAGAGGAAATTCGAACCTGACTTTTTCATAATGATTACGGTAAAGAGAAGGAAGGAGAATGAGTTGTAAGTAACCTGAAGCATCACATAATACTCCCGATCGGGAACTTTCCTTGTTCCTTTGCCATTCGTTGGCACCGATCTATCGTTTTCGTCCACAACGACAAAACCTTAAATCATATACTGTTCTATACAAGAATCCTTCGAAAGTTCGATATGACAACTGCAGTATCACCTCCAAGTAATCCCTCGCCACGATCCGTTTGGAAGTGCCCATGATACCAATGAGTTCCTTTGTTATCGGCGATAAATCGATATTCAAAGCTGAAAACATCTTCACGCTTTGCATGTACTCTATGGCTATTTATAGCTGGGAAACAGGGCTTGGGGGAGGATCTGACTGGTGCAAGAAAGGGCGATGGCGTCATAATCGGCCCGTAACGAAGTCATTAATCATAGAACGGGAACTGATCACTGGTTTATCTTATCATTGTTCCCACATTGCGATCTTTTAAGAACACACACCGAGGCCACATCACACATCCCTTGTCTGAACAGTAAAACCCAAACCAGTGGTTGCGAAACGGTTCTCAGATTGTTCCCCGGGTGAGCACAGGACCTATCGCCTTCAATGAGGAGTGAAAATTACTACTAACAAGCATCTAGAAAACATTCTGACCCCAAAGAGCAGTTATTTGAAGATATGTTTCATCACCAGTGGTGCCATACAACACCGTCATGTCTTAATGTCTACTATGTCGGTGGGGACAACATGAATTCTGATAACAGGACTTTGAGCCCACTCCTTGGAGTTGGAATGGCACCACTTTTTACGCAAAAAATCCAATTTTTGATAAAGAAAAAAGGCTTGGTGAAGCTAGAAGAAGAAAATTTACTAAATGGTGAGAACTCTGAAGTTGCCTTCGTGAGCGTTTAGAGGCGATAACCATCTATTAGAATGGCCCTTTGCAGCCCTACCGATCAGCTGCGAACACATCGGCAGCTCATCAGTAGGGCTACAAAAGGTATTCCCCACCTTTATAGGTGGTTATCGATCGGACGTCCAACTAAATGGGATTTTCGGAAATTACTTTGTTGCTCGATCTTAGATGAAGGCTGTAGTTTCAACTGAGCCAATCTGAATCTCATTAATTCACACTCTCAACATCTAACTACTCCCCACTCCCCGATTCCCGTTCGGAAAAGCTCCCTTACCAGTTTGGTTTGTTGGAAAAACGCCTTCCGGCTTCCAGAAGAAAGAGCGAATCCAGACGTGCAACAAACTCAAGGGTTGATGAACTCTTAATGGAGAGGCCTTTAGGGATCTTGGAATCAGGGACACTATGAGTTATTCGATTATGTTCTCCCTTTCTGGCGATTCAGAGTCGTGAACTCACTAATTTGTGCTATGGATCGGGCACTGCTGTATGAACGCTACTCCATCCATATACCAGAGATCTGAAAAGCAAAATAATCGGAAAAATAATCATTAAAATCCTAGGCCAGACCCTCACCATGCTTGTCAATACCATGAACATGTATAGAAATAGAATCCATTAGTACTTTGTTATGAACTCGTAAAAGTACTTCAGAAAGGTACGGCACAACAATCGGGTCTCCAGGTCTTAAAAAAGAAACCTTGTGATGTTTTCGGGCAGAACCATTTATGTAGTAGAATAGCCAAAAATAAGATTAGCCAAAGAAGGAAGTAATGAAACCTATTAAAAAAAGAAATAATTTAAAGAAACGGATTTCACGTTTTGCCGTTAATCGTTAGCACCCGCTTGTGCTTTCCATCCAGCACTACCGTATCCTTGAGATACTTCCTGTCATCAGAATTGGTGCTCATGTCCAATGTATAATTGACAAAGCAGCCTTTCAGCTGATCTGGCTCTCGACGTGACCATGATGCCTGCTATGGGATGGTAAGAGCTATTCAAGAATCGTAAATGCCGTAGGTGGCCTACCGATTTCGGAGAGTAGTCCAAAGGGGTGCTATGCTTCCATGGACTGGTATCTCTCGAGCTCATAGTGAGCTTCCGCTCGACAATCATATCGAAGACGTAGACGCCATTCTGGAAAGTCAACATTTTAGGAAATATCTCCCCTGCAAGCAAAAATGCTGCTGAATGAGGAGAAGGGGACTCAAGACTACGACACTTTCCCACTACAACCACGAAACAACTTCTGAAAAAGGAGCTGAACTAATAAAATATACCTAATATGCCTTCTAAATTGAAACTACCCGGTTACTGTAGAAAGTATTGACATGAGAAACGCACCGCATCAGGTTGAGAAAGTTTCAGTGGCTTCGCGTATTTCGAATAGGCATCGACCAAACTGGCTATCAGAACAAGTAACCAAACGGGATATCTCATTGGTTCACAAGACCGCTTTGGTCGATGGGACGATAAGAGTGGGCGAAACCTATGCCTAAACAGGAAAGGAATGATCAAACATCACCATGTGACCACGGAATTATGCGTCATATCGAAACCGCCCAAGTATGGTACCAAGTTGGTTGTGGGTAACATTTACTTGTCTACTTGAAAGTCACCTCTGAGTGGGATCTAAACTTGTCCGATTTACATCAACAAGAACCAGTACTTAATAGCCAAAATCGCGACAAATTTTCATAGAAAAATATTTAAAACCTTTGGTCGTTTATCAATCTCTAAAGGATACGCCCCGCATTCGACTTCCGTTCAGAATCTTAGTGGTGTATTGAATGCATATGGCCTAAACAATGACTGACCGCCAGCCGATGTTCAAGTTAGTGTTATTATCCTCCCAGACGGGTCTAGTATCAATTAGCTATCTCTGGAGGGATGAAAGTCTTGGCCATGCGGATCTCGCTCCCGGATTTGAACCCGCGACCATGCGTGGATAATAGTGCGCCACTTGCACCGATACCACTACCCTGCTATTGATATTACTGTTACTAATATTACTTGTATTAATACTGCCATTACCACCAAAATAGTGTTACAACTATTAGTACTATTATTAATTTCGAAAGGTCTGAAAGGAAAGGTGATTGAGCTGATTGAATGAACATGTTGAGAGGTTTGTTGGAACCAGGACAGAGACCCTTTTATCTAGCGAAATTTTGACACGGAAATGACGTCCACTACACATGACCCCCTTATCTCTCAGCTGATTGGGCAAGTGGACAGTGGACGAGGGCGTAGGAGGCGCTGAAAGGGACCCAAGTGTGTATGCGCTCAAAAACGTGGTCTACGAGAGATATTTTCGTCTTACGTAGGTTCACCACGGGGGTTGGTATCACCCCGCCTACACTCGTCCTATCCCAATCGGAACTGTTTATCACCAAAACAAGCCAGATACGATATAGCAAGCTACCACAGGTGGTCAACTTTGATCTCGTTGTTTTGGTACAAGTTCTAGTCGAAAGCGTGTTGGTATGATGACAATCATGACTCTGACACAAATCACAAAATTGGCATACTGTCAGAGGCTACAAACTCCATCCCATTGCACAACATGAGTTTGCTTCCATGAAGGCTAAGGTCTTTGGCGTTATTCAAGCCCATTTTAGGAATGCGCCCGGGCATTCGACTTCCACTCAGAATCACAGGGGCGTTTTAAATGAGGATGTGGGCTCTACAATGACTGAAGGTGATCAGCTGATGTACTATTCAGTACATTTATCCTCACAAACGAGCCTGGACCAATAGTCTTCGAAGAGATGGGATAGTTGGTGGCCAGGTCGAGTGTCCATCCAGGTATCTCGACCATGAGGGTGTGATGGTGCCCCACAAGCCACTTCACCATCTTCTTTCATACATTCTAATGAATTTCGGGAATGAACAGAAGACGTATACCACAGAAATTCAATTCATAGAACTTTGCGACAGCTACAGTATTCTTGAAGAAAGGTTGGCACTGTTTCCTCCGATTATTCGACTCTAATGAGTCATGGCACACCGTTCTGAGGGCAACGATCAGTTTTTACCTTCAAACGCTTCTGTGTTATGAGCCAAGTTCAATGTGAACATGATTCAAGTTTATTGGTATAGATGAAGCCCTCAGCCATTTCACTAACTCACTTACAGTTTTTCTACGATCATCTTTGAGCTGTAGTCTAGGACGCTTTTCGGGAGTCTTTCAGTTCATTAGTACTGTCCCACTCAACAGGACAACCACAGTGTAACCAGAAAGTTGTACGCTAGTACCTGTAGTAGCCTACTTCTTTTTTTTCCTTCATTTCGTGGCTCACGCGGTTGTGAGCTGAACTGCTCAACAACCTCTCCTTCAGGAACCCGACTCACAACAGCAACCGAAACTGCCATAAAAAGCTATCTAACTTTTTACTGCTGTTCTGTGCTGTTTTAGTGATCATCATGTCCCATACTCTCAGCGCCGCGGATCGATTTATTCATTACGGTCGTCGTCCTTTGTCTGCAATTGCGTAGGCTGTCGCGGTTCAAACGCTATTGGCGGGAACGGTCGCGGCTTCGCTGAATTCAACTGACTGACGCCTTCAGTAGCTTAATTCTTTGGTGCTCTAGTAAAGGCCAGTTTTGTATAATTTGCGGATTTCCATGGCTCCAACATTTTAAAGGCATATTCAATGGTTTCTGTCTACTTTTTAGCCATTAAATCATTCTAGCTTATTCATTGTTTTATTTATATGCCCACTTCTGTTTATTTTCTTGTTTTTTATTTTCATCTTCTACTTCTTCTCCTGAAAAAAAATGTATTCGTTTGATTTACAGGTAATGGCATCGTCTGTAGAAAAGTCAGCTCTGAATGCTTTCAGAAGGATAGTTAGCGAGCTCCGAAAGTCTGATAAGGTTTATTTTTGGTCCTTGCTCAGAACTTATGATTGAAGAATTTGGTTCTTTTCTGATTTTTTTTTNTTTTTTTTTGTTAATTCAGAGTTTTGGGCGGAATTCCGTACAATATAAACATTTGGTAGATCAAATGAAGGATCATCTTGTAACTCAACGTGTGTACTCCAAGGCTCCCCAAGAAGCTGAACACGTTGCTAATCTTTATGCAACTTATTTATCTAGGTAATTTTTTTTATTGCTTTGCCATGACGGGCATTAGTTTTCCTCGACAGTTCTGATTTTTGAGCTTTGCTTTTTGTTCGTCCAATATCACTTCAACTTTTACCCACAAATTAAAGTTTCCTTTCTAGATAGTGAGTAAGGAATTGAAAGAATGGACTCGAATAATAGGGGACGAGCGTAGTGTTATTGTGGAAATCACTCGCTAAATGGCAGTTCCACTGTGGTTATGCTTTCGAAAAAATAGTCATCCTTTACAGTACTCGGAACTTGAAGGAACTCGAAAAACGGTACCGTGGTAATGAACGATCAGTTGAAGAAAGTGCAAGACTGGTAGGGTTAGCTCTACCAGAAAAGAAGTAGAACAGAAAAGTGACAAGACGCTGAAAGGATTTGCAACTAGTCCAACAAGGTTAATAGTGAACGTTTCTTCCAAAGAATAAATATTACGACATACTGCTTTTCTTTGTATACCTAAGAGTTGAGTTTCTCTGCTTTTTTTCTGAACTGCTTTTTTGTTGTGTTGTTACCATTTTAACTCATTATGTTGCTCAAAATTTCTTTCGTAATTACCGAGATATTGAAGAGTTCTTTTTCCTTTTTCGTGCTAGAATTAATGGCGGAGGATTTCGAGGATGCGGGCCAACGGTACACTTTCCTCCTCCGGCCAGTGAAGGATTTAGGGAAAAATTTCGAAACCAACATTGCAAAGGAACTTGACGACTATTGCGAACGGCTTCGTAGTGTTTCCGATGATGCGCATGAGGGCGTTGACAACCAGCATAGGTGCGAAAATGTTTTGATTTTTCTTTCTCACGAGCCGCAATTCAAGTATGTCTGAACTCCGTAAATTTGCCTTTTCAGGTTCAACTTCGCTGAAGCAGCGATGCTCATTCAAGGCTCGGCGTATGTTTTCGGCAAAAAAGTTGACTACGTCCACTCCCAGGCAATCCATTTCTTCGAAGCGTTGCAACCACAGAAGACTAAGAAGAAGAAAAAGAAGAAAGGAGGTATTATCTCATGCGTTAATGTAACCAGCTTATCAGTGCAATTGCTATCGTTCAGAAGAGGAGGAAGATGAAGGATTCGTTGAGGGCGACGCCACTAGTATTGACCCATGTGATTTGCAAGACGCCAGCAAGGTGAAAGCTTGTAAAGAAAGCTCTCTACTCAGGAATTTCGAAAGTAAGACCTGTGCTCAAGCTTCACGAAATCTTCAAGTCTACTTCCCTTGCTAATTTGCCCCTTTCAAGAAAGTAAATATAAGGGACATCCGCCTAAAATCAAAGTGATGCCAATGTCATTAATGCCATTGGCGGACAACGAGAAAAATGGAGTACTGATCTATTCTACCGGTTACCGTATGGAAATTGTGGGTAAAATGGACGACTTCAAAATGAACGCTGGTTTCCTGAACAGTAGGGTAGGTTCGGTGCCCTCTGCTTCTGCTTTGTCTACGAATTCCTGCTTTTTGGATAAATTCCTATTTCTAATTCTAGGGTGTACTATTGCTGCAATTGGCTGATAATAAAATTGTTGATGAGTTTGCTAGTGAAGCATTCCTTCGAATGTGGCATCCATATCTCTTCAATCCTGACGGAACCTTCGTAGCAAAACCATGCGGTGCCCATTATCGTGCTGTAATGGAATGTTTGAAAAGACGTCTCACACAGTCTAATGCTCCTAGTTCAGGAAGAGGGACTCTTACAGGTTTAGTTGACCATTTTGCCATTCATTTATTCATGTAAAACATTAATGCTCAGGCGATTCTGGATCTGATCATGGCCGGATACCTAGTGCTCTGGAGATTGGGCGGGCATCTAGTGCTATGGAGGTTGCTCGTCGTGGAACAACTGGCACTTTCAACGATTTACAATCTGCTAGGTATTTGATTTTTTCCATTTAAATACGGCCATGTTTATTTTCTTGGATTTTTGGACGGTCTTTCCTGCGTTTCCGTCATTTCGAGACTCATGTCTAACCCATTGAATCTCATTTGATTTCATCAAACATTCACCTGCTGTAATAACAAGTCATCAATCATGACGAAGGTCCTCTGGAAAGCTACGAAAATACTCTATTTTGATGTTGTTGTACAACACAGTGACCTGTTTTTTTGTACCGGAATGGGAATGGGTTTGTCGGGACGAATTGCTGGGGATGCTTGGATGTTCACAATGTTTTTTTCGTAAACAAACAATCCGCTTTTGCCAGTTTTTTTTTTCTATAAAGCAGAACAACTTTTAGACCAAGTACGCGATTGCTAGAGGCACCGGAAATAGAGTCGCAAAAAGCGAACCAGATTCCGGAGGGTGGCGAAGATTTTGATAGTTTCGATGGTGGAATGGATTGTGGAGACTTCTCATTACCTGTGCCATCTGTGCCATGTGAGAAGCGTGCATCTCGTTCGCAGCAACCTTGTGTCATGCCGGTATATTGCAGTTTGAATCTAAGTTTATTCGGTATCGATTGCTTTGCTCATAGCGACTATTTAGTGGGAGATCAACGAGAACGAAGCCGAAGAGGATTGTACACAAAAGCTACTGTTGGATCCATTCGATACCGTCAAGTGGAAAACGAAGGCAATAGAGAAAATCGAGCGATTTGTTAAAGGTTCTACGATTGCTGCTAGAATGGAAAAGGCTCGTTGATCACCTTTCTCTTTACGTTCAGTTATTATCTTTGGTACAACTGTTTCTCTCTAGAAGGAAAAGAACATGACCTTCCAAAAGCGCACAATGAGGACCAACGAGTATGTCAAAGAACACTTCTTCATGCGGAAAAAGGTTAAAAAGTGTAAAGAAGACGATTGGGTAAGAGCTGCATGGTCGCTCTGTATCGGAAATTGCATACTTGCCGATTTTCTGTTACAGCAATCTGAAGCCCTCTATCGCTTTATCGTTGCCGTTATGAAAAAACGAGCTGAAGCTAAGCGCGAGAAGCGGAAAGCAAAGGTGAATCCAATGACTGAAGGTTGGTGGTGTGGTAGCGTTATTTTCGACTCTCTTCGTGTACTCGCCGTAGAATTTCTCTTGATCGTTTTAGCTTTCAGTTCAGCCGTGATGCTGTTATATCTTTTTGTGTTTTAATTGAGCTTGGTAGCTGTTCCTCGCTTAATCAAAATACATGATATGAATTTGAGGAAATTTTGAGGGAATTTCCAAAGTGGATGCCAAATCAGTCTATTTTACATTGGAAGTGGACGTGAGCAATGTGTGTGAGACGTGTGTATCTCCTAGGTGAGCTGTCCTCATTTAAGACTTGCAGGAATGTGAGAGTAGAACCACGTTCAAAAGAGAGGTAACCGTCAGGCTTCTTTCGAGCAGATTTGAGAAGTAACGTACAGAGGACTTTATGATACTTAGGAAAGTGAAGTAGAATTGGGGGTAGCCTTCATGTCTGAGTTACAACATGGTGAACTACTAGAACTGTTTGTCTGATTGGATATCATTGCCTGGTGCTTGGCCGCGTTGCACAGAAATAAGGTTTATCTCAGCTTTTATTACCCTTATCTATTGCAGAAAACCGACTTTGTTTTAATCCCTCGCTTGAATCTTCAGCCACTTTTTAGGGAGTCTCTGGAGAGACGTCTATTACCTGGTCTATTCCTGCTTTTCAGCTGTCTACAATGACGATGACGATGACTATAATGACAATGGTGAAGATTACGATGACGTGAACGATGAGCCTGAGAACAATGAGAACATCCCTCCGAAAACAAATGCCGCGGGAGATCAAGGAACTCAAGGAAATGATGATCCCAAAAAGAATCTGGAAACCGCTCCCAACGCTCCTGAGGTATTGCTTCGGCTTCGTAGCGAGCCCTGGTTAATCAAATCAATTGTTGTCATCTTTTATTTCAGCATCTTTTATCTTGCGCTCACTATTTTTTCCTCACTTCTACTCGTTTCTTCATTTGCATCTCCGTTTTACGGCTTATTATTGCAGTAGTCGATTATTTCTTTTATGTGATCTATTCGCGAAATAGCAAAGTTGTTTCATGGGATTCCCACGTGTATTTTTTCCATATTTTTACGCGTTTTCGATTGATTTTAAAATTTAACTTTTTAGTATATTTTATTGGTATTTATTTTTTTTATTTTTTTTTTATAATTTTTTCCCATCATTTATTTTGTTTTTTCATGTGCGTTTATTCGAGTGGAAGTCGAGTACGTGGGCCATCCCTCTGGCGGGATTGGTTAGCGCAAGAAATTTATCCTTTCTATGTGTTTATAGGTGCGTAAATCTGTAATCGACTTGATGTTTGGTGATATGGACGATGACGATCTTGACAGCTCTATAAGTATTGATTCTTTGTACGGAGGTTGGACATTTTTTTTACTGCTTTCAGTTGTTATTATTTTATTCAGAGCCAGGTTTATTCAAACTCGAAAACCTTTACTGACATTGTTTGTTTGTAGTATGTTGAAAAAAATTTAGTCTTTATTTCTGTCGAAGATTCGAAAGTCTGTCTATGTTACAGCTTGTGAATGCAAAATGTTTAATGGATAGCATGTCTGAAGGGCATGTAACACAGGGGGAGAAGTGCGAGTGGAGGTTGGAAATGTGATCAGCAGATTTATGCCAAAAAAACTTAAAAGATTTTCATCCTGTTTTTTTGGCTAACACAGGGATCCGAATTTGCGAATCGTGGCTTGCATTCATCTCTGAAATATTTCAGGATGCGGACCCTCGCAAGGGCTCTCCCAAGGACCCTCCCAAGGGCTTTCGCAAGGAGATAGTCAGCCCATTGGAGATAAGGGGAAGAAGAAGTTCAGTCTTCTGGAGCTTTTGCACGCGCACATGCTGAAGTAGGTCCCACTAAAAATTATTCTTTGGATATTTGTATATCCTTTCCTTTCTCATTTATCTGAGTAAGTTTTAGAAGTTTTCTAGGTATAGTCTTATTGATCTGAGATTTTCTCAGAACCTTCATATTGATTTGCAAATATTACGTTTTCAAGACGAAGAAAGGAGCGCTCACATATACATGCTTCGATCTTCAGTAGATTCTTGTCTACTCCTTCAGGTACTGGTCTACTACTGAGGAAGTGACGTCTGACTTGGTTGCACGAGTTCAAGAATGGGAAGAGACTATGATGCCTATACTGGAAGAAGAGGAAACGAGAAAAGAGTTCGATATTCATGAATATGGTGACGAGTTACTGAGCATGTTCAAAGAGGTTGGAGAGGTAAAGACGCTCGATGAGGTTAGTGTCATCTACGTTCTACTGATTCCCTTTGTTATGCCCATATGCTAATCGATTTCAGCTGTTGGTCGGTAGAAAGAAATACGAAATCAGTCGATACTTCCTTGCCTGTCTAATGATGGCCAACACATATAATGTACGAGTCGAGCATGAAATCAGAAAGGACAGAACAGGAGTGGAGACTTCGATTATGAGGATCACATTGTTAAAGAAGGATAGACATCATGAAGTTTTTGACAAAGCTGGAGCATTATAATATTTCGTTTCCTTTTATTGCACTAGCGTATTGTGATTTTAGGCGCATTCCTCATTTCTAATTACTTTCTTTAATTTAATTTCTACATTTATTGTTATAGTTCCCTTGCCTCAATGACTCAGTTAATTTCACTTTATATGTGAGAAACGATGGTCGATCTCATACGTACGCTCATTATATTAGAGTGCGGTTGTTTAATTTGTCGGTAATAAGAGTTACTCGAACTGATTCTTCTCTTCGTAATCAATATGCATGGTCTATCCATCCAGGATACCTTATTTCTTAATTGTTCTTAGTTCCTGCTCGATTTAACGGCAAGTTACAGCGATGTCTCTGTGGGTAGACAGATATCGGCCGAAAAAGTTAAGTGAGCTGTCTTACCACCTGGAGCAGGTAAGCCTAGAGTCCGTTTTTATGCTCTATCTTTTATACTTTATTTTTCAGGCGTGTGATTTGGCTGAGCTTGTGAAATCAGATGACTTTCCTCATCTTCTCGTCCATGGTCCCTCAGGTGCAGGGAAAAGAACTCGAATTCATTGCATCTTAAGGTGAGTTTTGTGGTATATTGATGCAACATAGGAAGACGTGTGCCGTGGTTAACGGAGATTACTGTATCTTCTCGAATTTTCAGGGAACTTTATGGAGCAGGAGTGGAACGACTGCACCTTGATAAAAAGTCACTTATTACGCCTTCCAATAGGAAAATTGAAATCGACACCGTTAGCAGCAACTATCATATAGAAATTAATCCTGGGTAGGTGGCCGGCAGTCCATTCATTATTCAACAGTACAACCAAGATATTTCCTCAACTTCCCCTGGAATGAAAATTTGAGTTTCTTCGCTACCGCTACACCTTTAGTTGGTATAGAGGTACTCACAGCTTTTCAAGCTTGTTCGGCTTATTCATATACTTCATAGTTTGTCTTTCATTGAATTTGGGAGCGATATCTCATGATTGGGAGCGATATCTCATGATCAGCAAAATTTCAGCTCGTTTCGGTCAGCTGAGGTTTCGTGGTTAGTATTGCTGGTGAAGTGAAAAATAATTTTGCATGATTTTGTAAGTTTATTCATCTTTTTGAAGAGAAGTCGGCATCTATGATCGTGTTGTTGTACAAGAAGTTGTCAAACAAATGGCACAAACTGCCCAAATTGTTAGTGCTACGCAGAAAAGCTTCAAAGGTATGCTCCTTGATTTTTCAAGTCTTCTATTGCTACTTTTAATTATTTAATGTCATATGGTGAAGTTACGGATAGGTACCTAAAAAACTACTGCTGAGCCCCCTAACTAGGGTGGGACTTAGTCCTGGCCTGCAACTTTGCTATCACTACTCTGCATTGTGTTTTGGTTGAATCCCTTGTGAGGCTCTTCTTCTACTCATCACCATTGATCAACTGCTTTGCTGATTATGCCATTGAATGCAGTGCTCTGTGCCAGCTTCTTGGCCTCAAAACTAGCTGCTAACGAAAAAGTGGGGAAAACAGCGAAGTCGTATACATCAATGTCATGAGATCATTTCAGTAGTCGTGCTCATGGAGGCAGATCAGCTTACCCGAGATGCGCAACACGCCCTACGTCGGACGATGGAGAAATATTCTATGACTTGTCGTCTTATTCTGTGCTGTGAATCTCTAAGTCGAATTATTGGACCATTGAAGTCAAGATGCATGATCGTGAGAGTGGGCTCACCAACTGACGAAGAGGTTGATTTTTTTCCCGACTAAACTTCTTCGCAGCCGTTGATTCGATCGTCTCAAAATGTTCCTTTAAATTTCAAAACTCACGCATTTCTCTAGCTGCCTTAGGCTTGCACCCGGTTCCCTACCTAGCGAGTTTCAAAGCATCTACTTTGGTCGCATATCTATCATATCTGGTCCATAACTATCATATCATAATTATCTGTACAAGTGGGTGTTCGCCTATGTTGAGGTCATCTTACCAAAACCAGGTTTCCGCACTCCTAACGGGATTACAAGATTGGGGCTCGGTGATTATGATTCGAACACGATTTCCGGGTGCTGCTTAAGGATTTCTCAGTTTCGACGAGATGTTAATCAATCGCACGTGCCACCCACACTTCATTGTTTCAATATTCCCAGATTAATTTGTCTGTAAAATGGTCGATGACAGTTCAGAAACTATATATTTTAGATAAGAGATGTATGTACGTCTGTTGCCGAAGGAGTAAGACTCACAGTGCCGGCTCCCGTTATGGATCAGGTAAGAGCGGGATCGTAATCTGAGCGGATGTAGTTCAATAGTAGTTGAAATGTAAACTTCAGATAGTGACCAAAGCGAGAGGCAATCTGCGTCGTGCTCTACTTTCTATGGAAGCGGTGAAAAGGAAGGGAGTACCGATCAAAGACACTGAACAGGTACGTAATGCTGGATATTAAATGGCTGGCTTTGAATGTTTGCGCAGGGTGAAGGGATTTCAGGTGCCCGAGCCAGAATGGGAAATCTACCTCCGCGAAACTGCAGAATTGATGATTAAAAAACAAAACAATGAAAATATATTGGCAGTGAGTTTTAGAAAATTCTCTCCTTTTTCCATCCAGTAGGGTCACCTACTTTCTCAATTCAATATTGAAGGTTCGAGAACGTCTATACGAGCTAATATCTCGCTGTATACAACCGAATCTGATATTTTTGGTATGTTTTTGTCCCTATGTGTTGGATATATTGAATATCTTTGTAGGATTATCTCGATTTTTTTCAATGAATCTGGCCCAATTGATCTTCTCACTATTCAGTACTTACTTCGCGAATTGCTGAAACGCACTCCACCTTCAGCGAGACGAGAAGTGATCGAGATGGCAGCTCTTTATGAACATCGGCTCACAAGAGGACAGAAAGCTATTATTCATCTGGAAGCGTTCGTTGTCGCATTTATGGACATATATCTCAACAGTAGTAATCCCAATGCCATGGAGCATTGAGCTTTGACTTGGGAGGCTTTTCCGGATAGAGCAGAGGGCTGTCTTTCCAGGGATTGCTATCATGTACTATATTTTCTGGAGCTGAACATTCTCTTTCCTTGATCTTTTCTCGGATTCACCGGTTCCTATATTGTGGATTGTCTTCGCAGCTATATTGCTTTACCTACACGTTTTCAGCTGGCTATGGTGGTTCGTACGAGTTTTGCCCGGGGTGATCTCAAATAAAATTGTTCCATTTGTATTTTTCCGTGCTTATTTCTGGAATATGCCAACCAAAAAATTTCTTGCTCAAGGTAGTAAAAATTGCTTCAGTTAATATTAATGAGCTTGTCTTTTTTTCTTGTTTCAAAAAACAGCGAAGACTCCCTAGGCCCTAACCAGTTCGGCTCTGCACACTGGCGTGTACGTCACAACAAAAAGCACACCAAACAAATCAAAAACATCAATCCCTTCAATCTGAGCACCATCACTAAAAATCTTGCCATAGGCTATGGTGGATTGTGAGTTTTTGCAAAAAAAAAAAACTCGGGATCACTCAGCTCATCGCTGATGAGTCCCTTTCGTCTCATTTGTTGAACTGTTCTAGCCTTTACCCATTTCTCACGGAATCTGGGTTTTTTGGAGTACCTCTAGAAAAAAAAAACTCTTGAGAATGGAAATAAATTCCCATT